TTTCTGCGTTATCGAAAATGTTATCCTGAACTGTTAAGTTGCCATAACGTGTGGCCGTTAAAAATAGCATTTATGATACAGCACAGGGCTGATTAGCTGAATAAAACACTTTGCGATTCGCTAATGTCTGAATTGCGCTAATACAACATATTAATTGTTCGATTTAAATACGTATATACAGGGTATGCCACTGCGATGCGTCATTAGTGTAAACAAAGGTATGTGTAATTTAAATTAGTAATAGAGGAGTATATGAGAGTCTAATAAATCTTTATATTTAAATAATAAGGAATCGAAATTTGTCCTGCTTTGTATGTTTTACTAAATTCCGCATGGTTTATTTGTAGGTTTAATTATCAATTTCTGATATTTTCAATTGTAGCAGACAATATTAAGGTAGGTACTCCTCTTGTAAACTGGCAGTAATTTTGACGTTAATTGGGGGCAAAAGAAAAAACAGTATATTGCTTGGGTGACATAAGGGTGAAATATAGCTGAAAATATTTTTTGCCATATTCAGGCCTCCAAAAAAAGTGTGCGTTTAGTTTTAAGGATCAAATGTTGCTACACTTGCAAGACGAGTTAACTCGATCAGTCTAATAAGATACCAGGCTTTGGAGACATGAAATTACACCTTATCTGGACAAAAAACACTAAATTCTCAGTTGACTGTGTTCGATGTTTTTAAATGACTGTTAAACATTATTGCGTTTGTCCGTTGTCCCTCGTATTTAATTTTACTTTTGTACCGGTTTACCTTTGTGCCGGTACCAGTAGTATCGGTAGTACCAAACATAATCCTTTACAAATATTTAAGTAGTCATTATTAAGTACAAAATACTTAGTTTTTGAGAAGTCAATTCAGCCAAAAAGGTTTTTTGATTTGCAATAATATGTTAGTCAAGCGTGAGATTGAACAAATATGCTGTAGCTCTTAAATTGGTTTTGCTTTTCATTGCACTCAGAAATCATCAGAAAAAAATAAGTATCCAGGACTCTCGATAATTGAGTACTAAATGCGGATGTTTTTAAATAATTGAAGTTTAGTTTTAGTGCTGAACACGCTCATAATGAAATTAATTTCAATTCTACCTCCTCAATATCTGGTAAATGGTTAAAAAAAGGTATAATCAACTTTTGCTACTCGTAACATGGCCGCGAAGTCAGCCGAATAAAATTACAACTCTAAAATTTCAGAAGAAATGGTTCCTTTAAAGCAGTAGACCGTAATAAAAAAATCATTATATTATCATTTGTAAATTTTGAAATCTCGAGGTTCAAAACAAATGTTGAATTGTTATACTTGAGCATGCACCGACAATAATTAGGCTAGATATACTATATATAATCCCTGAATCTATTATATTTCCAACCTTAAGCTTGAATTAAATAAAAGCACATTATATGGTAGGCTATTGTTTCCCAATTGTGAACGATCTCCGAAACATAACTAAAGTGAAAACATTAATTCAGTAAATTCGTGATTGCAATTGCAATTTTTCTGTGGTAATAAAGCATATTTTAATTAGTAATTAAATTTCAATCAAAGTGGAATTTGAAATAAAATATTTCTGTGTAATTTGCATTTGCACCCTAGAACCGTATTTAAAAATATAGCTAGTATGACAAACAGTTTATTCTATCATTTTCGATATTTTCCATTTTCACTTACTATATTGGCTATGACAACAACTCAATTTATGTCTAACACATTTTTCGTACAGTAGTTCGAAAAGCTTCAAGATAGTAGCTTTTCTAACTTATTTTTTATGTTTTTTAGTTATCAATATATAAAATTTAAATGTTGTTGTTAAAATTAAAAATATGTTAACACAAGTAGTCTGTCTGCTACTAGTCTGATAAATCGCGATTAATTAGTCCATTAATTTAAGCAAGAAAACGTAAATTTGAAAATTAATTTTGAAAAAAATATACATGTAGGTAGTTAATTGTGCATTTATTAAAAATTCAGCAATTTTCTCTATATATTATATTAGCAACGAACATTTGTACATTTGCATTAATAACTATGTTTATGTCTCCATTTTGAACAGTTTATATATTTTGAGTAAATTTTTATCGAATCAAGTGTATTTTTTTATTAATTTGGCAATCCGCTTGTTAGATGCTGCTTATCGATTCTTTATTAAATCCTTCGTCTAGTGAGGTCGATTTACATCCGTCATATACCAAAAATATATAAATAGGTGATTTAGTGAAAAACATTAGTACCTATTTTTATATAAGATTTTTAATTGAGAATAGAGGCCATGAAATATTTGCATGTTGTGAATATACAAGTTTTTAAGGAACGAATTTAGTTTGTCTGTTACTAGTCTGAAAAATCCCCATTCATTAGTTCCTTAATTTACGCTAAAACCGTCAATTTTTAAATTTAACTTTCCTAAAAATATTATAAAATAACAAACAACATATTATATTAAAAGCGAAGAAAATTCCAACATATATTGAAATAACAACGAACATTCATACATTTGCAACAAGTATGTTTACGTTTATATTATGAATATTTTATATATTTTCAGTACATTTTCAAATAAATTTAGAAACTTGCTTGTTAGATGCGGCTTATTGATTTTTCGTTAAATCCTTCGGGTCCTGTAGTCGATTTCCACCCATCATGCTTTTTAAGGCTTGAATAACTTCCTTCGCTTGTCTCCTAAAAGCACTTTAAAATTGCAGATATTGATTCATGCGACTGGATACTTTACTAATTTTGTAATGCCCAATATTTTGTTTCAAATGTTTACGTTTTAGTTCATTTTTAAGTTTTTCCGATTAGGCGCCCTTAATATCGAAGATGCAGTATTTAAATTAGTCACGTTTATTATAAAACTGGCTGAGGTATTTAAACGGCAGCGGCTATTCCAATGACTATAAGAGCATCGAATATACATATTTTGTGTAATAATCTAAACACAAAAGAAGAATGAAATGTACTTCTTGATAGATATGCACCATCAGAAGTATTCTTCATCAAGAATCAGTATTAATTTGATGATTATATCATTAGAAAAACAAATATAAATTGTTCTTCAGCTTATAAAAAACTAGCTGCTGCTCCCCTAAGTACTTCAGTAAAAGTACTTTTCCATTTGCGAATCACCGTCTGCAAACGATTCGCTGCTTTTCGAACTTTGTAAACTTAATTCACAGTTTACTCACTCTCTATTCACAAGACTCGTTTCAGCAAAATTACATTTAAATTTGTGTCCAAAATATTGCATTGTCAATTTCACCACTGATTTTATACTTTACTCCTTTTGGAAAATGTAGTACCTTTATCTTTTCGAGAAACGATAGATCAAGCAGAAACATTATATGACATTGAGTTACTGAAAAATCAATAACATCTTGCAATTTATTTAGAAGCAAACCTAATATAATGCGACCCTGCATTATATAAGTGAAATCCAAATATTCTACTATACAGGGTGATTCAAAATTGGCGTCATTCCTCTGGAGGTGTTGTCTGGCAATGTTATAGGAGTACAAACAAAATAGTAAAATAAATTAATTGTTATTAAAAACTAAAAAATTTCCGAAAAACTATATCAGAAATACGGCAGCAATGTTTTTCAAGGTAATCGGCCTAATTAACATTGCGCAATTACCTGTGGCTTCGTAAATATTTAAAACTCCGGTAACCATGGAATTATACAGACTGACAATAACGACATGTTGACGAAATGTCAACCTGCTCTCATAACCTCGAATATGGGTGTTTATAAATAAACCCTACAACATCTTTAGGGTTTTTGACCATTGAATGGTTAACTCCAAACAAGCTAGTGCCTGTGTAATCTCCTTATTATCCACTCTTATCAAGCAGCTTCTCGTATTCAGTTAATTAACTCGTGCTCCATTTGTATCTCCTTGTGCTGTGTGTATCGTACAAACGTGGTAGGAATGTAGCCATCGGTATTTATTTGGTGCTTGGCAAAGTGTTAGTTATTGTGCTCTGAGTACCCCTGGAAGGCCCTGATTTGATTATGTCCAATACTTGTTCCTCTGTGCCTGGAACCCGAACATCTATTGCCGTCCACTATCTTCCTGGAACCACTCTCCTCGCCGTTTGTTGGCGTGAGTTCTTTCAGCTTCTGCTATGTTACT